TACAACACAGCACCCCTAAGGAATCGTGCACACATCCCATACAACCCACCAGGAAAACATATAGTTACATGAAATAACATTGAGTTTGCAGGCAAGCTGGTGCTAATTAAATATAATGTAAACTGATACTGTAGTGCAGAAATATTAACACACTTTTAAGTCACACTTAAGTTACATTATAATTGACATAGTTGCACACAGCTGTTTTCTTGCCTTTCATTTTAAAAAGTAAAGAATGTAATATGTTCCATCCTCTACATGTGCAGGTGACAGCGGCTACCCCTTGGAGCCTTGGCTCATCACCCCTGTCCCCGGGAACCACGCGACCTCCACCGCTTGCGGCCGGTTTATTAAGGCGCATTCCTCGATCAGGTCTGTTGTGGAGCGCTGCATCGGGCTGTTGAAAAACAGATTCCGGTGTCTGCAAAGGCACCGGGCTCTGTATTACCACCCTTCAACAGCCACCGCCATTATTTCGGCATGTGCAGTGCTCCACAACATCTGCCTTGCATGGAGCGAGCCAGAACCGGAGTCAGACTCCGACCCTGAAGAGTCAGAGTTGGAGTCTGAGCCTAGCTCGGACGGTTCTGAGCCGAGCTCGGAGAGGTCAGCGTCGGCTCCCGAGAGGCTGGCTCCTGCCGGCCCTCCGGTCGGCCTTCCGGTCGGCCTCTCGGACAGGGGGAAGGCTCTGAGGCAGCACCTTGTCGCCCGGTTCGGAACCCGCCGCAGACGTGCCCGTGCGGAGCACCACACGCAAGGAGTCCGGCGCCACGACGGTAGTCCCGACCACCAGGGACACCGTCGGGAAGCCCCTCAGCGCCCTCGCCGCGGTGGTGCCCAGCATGGACGCCGCCAGCGACAGGGAACCTCTCGCCACCACGACTGAGGTCCTGACCACCAAGGACCCCGTCACATCCTTGCCCTCAGTGAAGCCCTCCCCGTGGAAGCCGTAAAGTGCACACTTCGCTTCCTGCTCCACAGTCATGGCCGTTCACAAGCTACATACTCTCTTCAGCTCCTACACCTTGTGAAGTTCGTCGCACAGCCAGCGTGCTGCCTCCGGATACGTGTCGAGTGCATCGCGGTGATATCGATACAGCCTTTTTTTTTATTTTTATGAGCAGAAGGCACGAGACGCAGTCGACAGTGACAGAAAAGGTTTGCAGGTTTAGTTGCCAGACCAACAGGTCATCTGGATTGCCCCTGCAAAGAACTGAGAATTAATTTAGATTCTCTAGAAAGAAATGCTTGCTTTAGCAGAGGCTGCTTTCTTAGTTGCTGATTGAACCAGGGATATTGTTGTCGTGGACATTGTTTCATATTACAAATGCTTCAAAGCGTCCTGCCTTCTGCTCCATTTCATTATCTCTTTTATGGTACTTCATCAAAGTTAGGTGATTGTGTTATCTTAAGACAGTGCACAGGTAGTTTGTTTTGAAAATTGCTTTATTTCTTAAAGAAAAACCAACGGAGCCCTGGACTAAGGGCCCCGACCGGGACTCGTCAGTCTCCTAACCTTTTGAAAAATAAAGTTATACCACCACCACCACCCCCTGTGACTTCATGAATAGAAGTGTGACAACATGGAATGTAATATTTCAATCATGGAAGTAAAACTGAGCATTGACTGGAACTTTGTAAACAATTGGGCAATCTGAAGTATATATCACAGATATCTTGTTGAACACTCTGGTCTTATTTGAGCACAATAGTTAAATCTCGAAAGGAAAAACAATATATATATTCTCTGACTAGCATACCACCGTATAAACACTGGACCACTCTGAAAAAATTATCACAGATGTTGCTCCAAACATTCTTATTTGAGCTTTGCAATAGCAAGTTCTCGAAAAATACAAAACTTATTTCTGACTAGAGATGCACCATATAAACACTTGGTCATTCTGAAGAAATATATCACATGTTTTAAGGACACTATGAAGCACATAGTCTCTAGATTGCATATTGTCAGACATATGACAATGCTACATATAAAAAGCATAAAGACCAAGTTCAATGCTTAGGTAAGACAAAATGAATGTAGCTGCTATTGTAGCGCATGACTAGACTGCAGGCCTCTTAAGTTCTCAATGAAAAATTTCTCGACAATGGAAGAACACTTCCTATAGTTAGCGACGGGTTAAGAATTAAACGAAATGTAATGTTCGGCGAGTTCCCGGGACAGCGGGGCATTGACGAGTGCACGCAAGCTTGCCCGGTGTTCAACTGTTTTAATCTCGTGCGACATGCTCTTTATATACCAGGTGTGCAGGGGGCGCCACCTGGCTGTCTATCACATTCCCCCCCCCCCTAACAAAAATGAGCCAAGGTCCCACCGATTTTCACGGTGAAAAGCGCACAGGAGGTTTTCGTGCTCGATTACTTCTCCTCGGTAGTGGAGTACCAGGACTCCTTGGTAGCGGAATGCCAGGAACAGGCTGAGTGTCGTCATGCTGGTATTCAGCTGTTACGGTTTGAGGTACCGCTTGGGCAGAATCCTCTAGTGGTACAGGCACATTCCCATTAGGAGGAGCGGCCTGATCCACCGGCTCTGTTCGCGGACCCGATGATGCCCTAGCTTGGGATAGGTCAGGACGCAGATGTCCTACATGACGTCTCCAACACCGACCATCTGGGAGTGCCATATCTGTGATGTGGTCACTTGGAGTGTCGATCACAGTTGCCGGTACCCATGGTGGACCTTGTCGAAAATTTCTCGCATACACAGCATCACCCGGTTGGATAGTTGGTATCAGTCGTGCGCCATCTTCTGGATGAGTTGTTTTTTCGATACGCTTGACCTCAGGTCCGGGTGAAGTAGAGCCAAAGCAGTCTTCAACTTGCGGCCCATCAGTAACTCCGCCGGAGTGCACCCTGTGGTTTCATGAGGTGTAGTTCTGTAGTTGAGCAGGATTCGGGCCAGCTGACATTGGAAACTTCCATCAGCTGCCTTCTTCAGCTTCAACTTTATGGTTTGAACCGCTCGCTCAGCGGCTCCATTTGACGCTGGGTGATACGGTGGTGTTAGAATCTGCCTTATTCCATTTTGTTGAAGGAAGTTCTTAAAGCTACCGCTTACAAATGCCGGCCCGTTATCGGATACGACGAGGTCTGGTAGTCCGTGACAGGCAAACATCACACGTAGGCAAGGGATCGTGGCTTCTGCCGACGGCGTGGACACAGGAACGACCTCAATCCATTTTGAGTAGGCGTCGACCACGATGAGTAGATATCGGTTCTTCATTGGTCCAGCAAAGTCGATATGAAAACGAGACCATGGCTTTTCTGGGAATGGCCATGGCATCATTGGTGCTGGTCGTGCGAGTCGCTGGTTTTCTTGACACACACGACATCCCCGCACTGTAGCCGCAATGTCTTCATCTAATGATGTCCACCATACATGACTCCTAGCCACGGCCTTCATTTTGGCGATCCCTGGATGACCTTCATGCAAGAGTCGTAGAACCTCTGGTTGTAAGGATCCTGGGATGACGACTCTTGACCCCAACAGGATACAGTTCTCTTGTACGCACAGCTGAGTTGTTCGAGGAGCGTACGGTTTTAAGTCTGGGTCATGCAGCTCAGCTCCAGACCACAAATGATCTCGAAGCTTCGACAAAATCAAGTCTTTTGAAGTGGAGTCAGCCACGACAGACGCAAGTAGTACGCGAGGATAGGCCCCCTCGAGCATAAATACCTCGGCTGGCCGCTCGATGGAACATGGAGGAACTGGCAGCGGCAGCCTACTCAAGGCATCCGCATTTGCTATGTGTGAACCAGGTCTGTACTTCAGTTTGTAGCTGTAAGCCGACAGCATCAGTGCCCAACGCAGCACCCGTGGCGAACAGGTCTCAGGTACAGGCTTGTCCGCAGCAAGCAGCCCCAGCAAGGGCTTGTGGTCTGTGACCGCTTCGAAGTCACGGCCCCACAGGTATTGCCGGAACTTAGTCACACCAAATATCAGAGCCAGGGCTTCCTTGTCAAGCTGACTGTAGTTGCGCTCAGCCGGCAGAAGACCTCTAGATGCAAACGCAATTGGTTTCTCAGCACCTGAATCTTCTCGGTGAGCAAGGACAGCCCCAATTCCGTACGGCGACGCATCGCAGATAAGCACCACTGCTTTCTTCGGGTCATAATGCGTCAATACCGCGGCAGACAGCAGTAACTCCTTGCTCTGACGAAAAGCCTGTTCCTGGTCCGCACCCCAAGTCCAAGGCGTCTTTGCCCCCAGAAGATGGTTTAACGGATGTAGAACGCTGGACAAGTTAGGCAGGAACCGACGATAGAAATTGACCAGTCCCAGGTAGCTCTGGAGCGTTTTTACATCGGTAGGCCTTGGAGCTTTCAGTACTGCGTCAGTCTTTTCTGGGTTTGGTTGGAATCCCGCAGAGCTAACGACAGGACCCAAGTATTTAACCTGGGGAACCAAGAAATCGCACTTGCACAGCTTCAGCTTCAGCCCAGCTTGCTGCAGCCGACTCAGCACTTGGTTCAGGTTTTCCAGGTGGTCTTGATCGTTTCGCCCTGTCACGAGAATGTCGTCGAAATATACAACGACATGCTTAAGTCCTTGCAATAGGTTCTCCATCTCTCGTTGAAAGATCGATGGTGCAGAGGTCACACCGAACGGCAGGCGAGTGTACTGGTACAGACCTCGTGGAGTGTTGATGGTAACCAGTTGTGACGACTTCTCATCAAGTTTAACTTGTAGGTATGCATCTTTTAAGTCCAACTTGCTGAATTTCTCGCCTCCGCTCAGCTTAGCAAACAGGTCCTCCACTCGCGGGATGGGGTACTTTTCAGGCACAGTCACAGGATTCACAGTGACTTTGAAGTCTCCACAGATGCGAATTTGTCCATTTTGTTTCAGGACCGGTACAATAGGGGCAGCCCATTCCGAAGTCTTCACTGGACGTAGGACTCCCTCCCGTTCCATGCGTTGATACTCCTCGTTGACTTTGTCAAGCATCGCAAATGGAACTGAACGAGGCTTGAAAAACCTTGGTTTGGCGTTGTCCTGAAGATTTATCTTTGCGGCCACCCCCTTGAAAGTTCCCAGACCTTCATCAAAGATACTGGAGTATTCAGCAACGAGGTTCGCAACAGAAGTCACGAAGTTGACATCCTTCGCGTTGGAAAGCTTGATGCCAAGGCCTTTCATCCAGCCACGTCCTAGCAGAGATGGGCAGGTGCCAGGGACAACATACAGGATGTCCTGACATTCGCGGTTTCCAAGTCTCACCGTTGCACTAAGGCTTCCCTGAACTGGGGAAAGTTCACCTGAATAGTTTTTCAGCATGAGGCGCGACGGGTCCAGCTGCCTTGATGGAAATTCGCGTCGAAATGTCTCCTCAGACACAACAGACACGCTAGCTCCCGTGTCAAGTTCCATCAGCAATGGAGTCCCGTTAACCGTAACTTCCACTCGGAAAGGTTGGCCGTCGACTGCAGAAGATGTCATTTCCCACATCTCGTAGACTTCTGGCAGTGAGACATCTTGCGACTGGCCCGCTCCGTCCAAGGTGTGGACCGATCTCGGTATTCTAGTGGACGTCGTCGGGCCGCCGGCGGTTGCATCCGCTGTCTTCCCCTTGCACACTCGTGCCAGATGCCCCTTTCCCCGACACTTGTGACAAGTGGTACTTGCATGACGGCACTGTGTGGCGTAATGCTCGCCTCCGCAACGAAAACACGAGATGGTGCCAGTCTTCCACTTCGGGTTCACAGCTGCATCGCGTGACAATGTGTTAGCTGACGCGAGGTTTGGCTGGATAGACGTCGATAGCATCTGCGAATCTTTCTTCGCTGCTTCCATTGCAACGACCGTCTTTTTGGCGAGGTCAAGGGTCAAATCTGGAATCTCTAGGAGTCGCCTTTGTATCATCTCATCGTTAATACCTCCGACGATGCGGTCTCGCAGCATTCTATTTCGGAACGCGCCGAATCCGCAATCATCCGCCAGCTTGTTCAGACAAGCAAAGAAATCCGCCGCTGTCTCACCGTCATGACGCATCCGTGAATTGAACTTAAAGCTTGCGACGACTTCCGAAGGCTTCAGTGAGAAATGCTCGCCTAATACCTCAAAAATGGTTTCTAGGCTGGCCTCCGACGGTTTCACAGGAGCCAGAAGATTTCGAAGCAACGAATATGTGGCGGGTCCAAAACACGTAAGTAAAACAGCTCGCCTTTTTTCATCCCTGACATCGTTGGCGATGAAGTACTGTTCAACCCGCTCCCGGTACTCGCTCCAGTTCGTTTCAGTGTCAAACGGCTCTAGTTTGCCGACCACCGGCATTCCAGAACAGGCGCACGGTCCGACGGCAGCAGTTCAACACTTCCACTTCCTCGTCGCCACTGTAATGTTCGGCGAGTTCCCGGGACAGCGGGGCATTGACGAGTGCACGCAAGCTTGCCCGGTGTTCAACTGTTTTAATCTCGTGCGACATGCTCTTATTATACCAGGTGTGCAGGGGGCGCCACCTGGCTGTCTATCACAGGCTCCTCCCACCTCTTCCTACTTCAGCAGAGCAAAGGCTGGAGAGGAGCTTGCTTCCTCTCTACTGTTCGCTCTGCTAAAGTGCAAAGAGGTGGGAGGAGCTTCCACTTCACTGTTAACCTGTTGCCGAGTATAGCTGCCGCTGTTCGTCAAACACAAGACATGGCTTGCTTGGGCATAAATCCGTTGTTGCCCAGCCAATATTTTCTACTTCCTTCACGGGTCATAGCCAAGGAAAAAGGACTAACCGAGCTCTTGGCAATTGCTGTAATCTGACTATTGCGCCAATCTCGGGCTGCAAAATTAAATGGCCGGCTTGGCCATGTGGATTAAATAAAATAAATAAATAAATAAATCTAATGTTCACTTTCAGGGGGGTCGGGGGTTGTGATTGTGGCCAGGGCTGCGGCCAGGGCTGCGGCCAGGGCTTCGGCCAGGGCTGCGGCCGGAGCAGCGGCCGGAGCAGCGGCCGGAGCAGCGGGGTGAGCCGGGGCTGCGGGGGGGGGGGGGGGGCGGGGCTGCGGGAGGGGCCGGGGCTGCGGGGGGGGGGGGGGGGGGGGCGGGGCTGCGGGGGGGGGGGGGGGCGGGGCTGCAGGGGGGGCCGGGGCTGCGGGCTGCTCCAGCGCCCTGCTGGCCAGCAGGAGGAGCACTTGGACCAGGGTGCTGTGGGTGTTTTCTTGTCCCGAGGCCGCCCTGTCAAGGTTTGCGGAGATCCGCTCCAGGACCTCCAGGAGCTGAAATGGCAAAGGAGTTTCATTAACATTGGGCAGCATATTTCCATACACCCACAGTCTGCCAAGACCTTGCTCATGCCACAACTGTGTCATTCTGCACCATTTTGGACATGCATTGCTTTCTGTGGCCTCGTGGCAGCACCTTGGTCTTAACCTTGTTAGTTGTAAGTGCGTGTAAGGTTAAGTTTGAGCCTGTACCCGGCCTCGGAACGCCCTCTCCTCTGCAGCCTGGTCCACGTTCTGCTGCAGCAGCAGGGCCTGTTGCTCCACGCCCTGGATGGCAGCCGCGTCGTGCCGCTCCTGCCTCGACTGCCGGGGGGGGGGGGGGGGGGGGGCGAGGCACGGTGGGCCGCACCCACAGCCCCAGCTTGTCGTTGTGTCTGCCAAGAAAACGAGTATGGGTGATGATGGTGCTCATACCTGCACCACTGATGATAGGTCCCAGATGCCCTAGCAAGAGAGCTTACCTCGAGAGGTGGAGGGCACCGGCTCAGCTGCCATCTGGCGCCTGCTGCTGCTTGGCCTCTCCTGGAAGGGGAATTTATAACAACTCGTGAGAACACGCAGCCTTGTCTGTGCTTCCCATTTGTTGACCAAACATTTTGACGAGCATGCATTCTAATCGGAGGTGAACATTTAGCGAATGACACCTCAGAGGCACTCTCACTTTCTTTTTTTGACAACGTTTCCATTGAGTACCGTGATATATGTCTAGTGCTAGCACATCATCTTCCCAAAAATTACAAGCAAGACACCATGGGGATTTATTGCAACAGCCAGGGGCGAGGTGGCAAAAATGACGCATGTCCCTGTTTGGGTGTCAAACATTAGATTTCGCACTACATGGACAGCTGCAATGTCTTCCGCTAGAGCTCCTAATATTTGCAAAAGGTCAACGTGTTTCTTAAATGCACCCTCATTGATATTCCGCGGTGCAGCGCATTGGTGACCGCTGCCCTGCACTCTTTGTTAACATGATGGTAATTGTTAAAGTACGTACTTGCTGGTCGCCCGGTTCACCGGGGACCCGCACCCCAGGGGCCCCGAGTGCCGAATCTGTGCCCACTAGCGTCAGGATCCTGGCCAGGGACTGCGCTATACTTCGTTTCAGCTTCGGTCCGAGCGCGGCCGATGTTATAAGCCGAAGGGCCAATCAAACAGCGAAAAAGGCACAACGTCATGGCGTGCTTTCTGCAGTTGATAGGACCAGCCGGTATTCGCCGTCTCTCTGGGCGTGCTCCTCTGCCGGCTAGTCCTATCAAGTGCAGAGAGCACGCCATGACGCTGCGCTTTTTGCGCTGTTCGATTGGCCCTTCGGCTCATAACATCGGCCGCGCTCGGACGTAAGGTGAAACAAAGTATAGTGGGCGCACGGTGGAGCTCCCGCCCCCGGTCCTTCTGTTGATAACGAAAACGACTGAATAAATTTCATTGCACTATCAGCAGACTACAAAGATTACCTTGCGGTCTCGTTGAGCTGTGCAGCTCGCTTCCGCGCCTTCATCACGCGCCGGGACCAATGCTCCTTCCATTGCTTGTAGCTCTTGGTTGGAGGCCCCAGCGCGTTCAGGCGCAGAGCGAGCTGCTCCCAAAGACGCCGCTTGTCGTCCCGCGTAAGGGCGGCGGAGAGGTCAGTGGCGTTGCGCGCGAGCGACGGGTGCTCACACATGAAGGAGAGTTGCTCCTCCTTCTGAGCAGCCGTCACTCGCGCGCTCCTCGTTGGTCCCGCCGACCCCTCCGCTGCCCCCGGCACCCCCGGCTCCTCGTGGTCCGACCCGTCCGACATTTTGGTTTGAAGAAGGCGCGTGGCGCACATCCCGCATAATATTGGAACAACTTTCTCTCCAATTAATTGTTAAATGTATTGCAAAAGGATACAAAAAAACGGTTTGTTTTAACAACGCCCAAAAGGTTTTGATTATTTTTCAATACTTTTACCTGTACTAGAACAGATGCGACGGCCAGCGACGCACAGGATTGGTTGCCGTTCCTTCGCTAAACGCAGGAACTGCTCCCCGCGTCGTAGTAAATCCTACCCCGTATCCCGCGCGTAGGGACGCCTCAGGGAATGCGTAGCTACTTCTGCTCGTCGGTGGTTGGCTCCGGACGTCGCTCAAACGGGTGACAAGCGTCAAGTTTGCGATGACGTAGCGGCGTCAAAGTGGGCAGAGCCGCCACGTGAGTGTTGCTAGGATACGCTCCTCCTTTCCATTACGTCACTTCCATGTACCTTTTCTCAAATGTCCAACCTAGCGATCCTGGATCGCTAGGTTGGACATTTGAGAAAAGGTACATGGAAGTGACGTAATGCAAAGGAGGAGCGTATCCTAGCAACACTCACGTGGCGGCTCTGCCCACTTTGACGCCGCTACGTCATCGCAAACTTGACACCCGTCACCCGTTTCAGCGACGTCCGGAGCCAACCACCGACGAGCGGAAGTAGCTACGCATTCCCTGAGGCGTCCCTACGCGCGGGATACGGGGTAGGATTTACTACGACGCGGGGAGCAGTTCCTGCGTTTAGCGAAGGAACGGCAACCAATCCTGTGCGTCGCTGGCCGTCGCATCTGTTCTAGTACAGGTAAAAGTATTGAAAAACAATCAAAACCTTTTGGGCGTTGTTAAAACAAACCGCTTTTTTGTACTCTTTTGCAATACATTTAAGAATTAATTAGAGAGAAAGTTGTTCCAATATTATGCGGGATGTGCGCTACGCGCCTTCTTCAAACCAAAATCACCAAAATGTCGAACCACGAGGAGCCGGGTGTGCCGGGGGCAGCGGAGGGGTCGGCGGAACCAACGGGGAGCGCGCGAGTGACGGCTGCTTTAATCAGAAAGAATTTTTTTATCTTTCGAGAACTTGCTATTGCTGTGCTCAAATAAGAATGTTTGGCGCAACATCTGTGATAATTCTTTCAAAGTGGTCCAGTGTTTATATGGTGGTATGCTAGTCAGACAATATATATATATATATTTTTTCCTTTCGAAATTTAACTATTGTGCTCAAATAAGACCAGAGTGTTCAACAAGATATCTGTGATGTATACTTAAGATTGCCCAATCGCTTACATGGTTTTAGTCGATGCTCAGTTTTACTTCCAAGAATGAAATATTACATTCCATGTTATCACACTTTTATTCATGAAGTCACAGGTTTTTCTTTAAGAAATAAAGCAATTTTCAAAACAAACTACATGTGCACTGTCTTGAGATAACACAATCACCTAACTTTGATGAAGTACCATAAAAGAGATAATAAAATGGAGCAGAAGGCAAGACGCTTTGAAGCATTTGTAAAATGAAACAATGTCCATGACAACAATATCCCTGGTTCAATCAGCAACTAAGAAAGCAATCTCTGCAAAAGCAAGCATTTCTTTCTAGAGGTAGTCTAAATTACTTCTGAGTTCTTTGCAGGGGCAATCCAGATGACCTGTTGGCCTGGCAACTAAACCTCCGAACCTTTTCTGTCACTGTCGACTGCATCTCGTGCCTTCTGCTCATAAAAATTAAAAAAAGGCTGTATCGATTTCACCGCGATGCACTCGACACGTGTCCGGAGGCAGCACGCTGGCTGTGCGACGAACTTCACAAGGTGTAGGAGCTGAAGAGAGTATGTAGCTTGTGGACGGCCATGACTGTGGAGCAGGAAGCGAAGTGTGCACTTTACGGCTTCCACGGGGAGGGCTTCACTGAGGGCAAGGGTGTGACGGGGTCCCTGGTGGTCAGGACCTCAGTCGTGGTGGCGAGAGGTTCCCTGTCGCTGGCGGCGTCCGTGCTGGGCAC